GAGGAGAAACAATGGGCTCTCCAAGATAAGAAGAATCACGAGCTCCAAGAAAAGCTTGATGAAGCTCTAGAAAAAATTAAAGATCTGCTCCAAAATGAGAAAAAAGAGAGCATTAAAGGGGATAAAATGCTCAAGAAGAATCAGGAGCTCCAAGAAAAGCTTGATGGAGCTCTGGAAAAAAATAAAGATCTGCTCCAAAAGGAGAAAAAAGAGAGCATAAAACAGGAAAACATGGTCAAGAAGAATCAGGAGCTCCAAGAGAAGCTTGACGAAGCTCTGGAAAAACTGAAGGAAATCCACCAAGAAGAGAAGCAACAGTCCACACAGCAGAGAGACATGCAGAGCAAACTCCAAGCCATGGAGGAAAAATACAAAGCGCTGCAGGTGAAACATGACAAAACTCTGCACAAAAGTCAACAGTTGCTTCAAGACAAGAAGCAAATGGAAATGAAACAGAAGGAAATTGACTCCAAGCTTGACAAGATGGAGGAAAAACACAGATCGCTCCAAATCAAGCTTGAGAAAACAGTGCACAGAAATAAAGAGTTCATTCAAGAGAGAGAGCAACAAGAAATGCTGGAGAAAGAAACAGACTCCCAGCTTGAAGTCTTGGAGGAAAAACTGAAAATGCTGCAACTAACTCTTGAGGAAACACTGCTCAAAAATAAAGAGCTGCTTCAAGAAAAAGACCAACAGAAAATACATCAGGAAGAAATGGATTGCAAGCTGAGGAACATCGAGAAACAAAATGAAGGCTTGCAAGTGATGCTTGATGAAGCTCTGGAGAGAAATAAAGAGTTTCTGCACGAGAAAGACCAACAGAAAATAAAAAAGGAAGAAATGGATTGCAAGCTGAGGCACATCAAGAAACAGAATGAAGGCTTGCAAGTGATGCTTGATGAAGCTCTGGAGAGAAATAAAGAGTTTCTTCACAAGATAGACCAACAGAAAATAAAAAAGGAAGAAATGGATTGCAAGCTGAGGAACATTGAGAAACAAAATGAAGGCTTGCGAGTAATGCTTGATGAAGCTCTGGAGAGAAATAAGGAGAACCTCCAAGAAAAGAAACAAGAGCCCGTAGAGCAGAGAGACCTGCAGAGCAAACTCCAAGCCATGGAGGAAAAATACAAAGCGCTGCAGGTGAAACATGACAAAACTCTGCACAAAAGTCAACAGTTGCTTCAAGACAAGAAGAAACTGGAAATGAAACAGAAAGAAATGGACTCCAAGCTTGACGAGATGGAGGAAAAACACAGATCGCTCCAAATCAGGCTTGATAAAAAAGTGCACGGAAATAAAGAGCTTCTTCAAGAAAAAGACCAACAGAAAATACAACAGGAAGAAGAAAAACTTCATCTCCAAAGGAAAAATCAAGCACTCCAAGAATTGTATAACGAAACAAAGTACAAATCAACTGTACTGGAAGAAGAAAAGAAAAAGCTGGAAAAACAATGCTCAGCGATGCAGAGTAGCATCAATGAGATGCTGAGAAAAAATACCGAACTTGAGGAACTTTCTAAGACCTTGAAGTACAAAAACACTGAAATCCAGGCGCAAAAGCAAGAACAACAGAAAACACATAAAGACCTGCAGTGTAGACTTCAAGAAATCCAGAAGAGAAACCAGCAACTGGAAGACATGCACACAGATGTGCACAAGGCAAAGCGAATAGAGGAGGCAACAGTTAAAGAACTGAAAGACAAGCTTAAAGAAAAACAAGAACAATTAGAAGACATGGTGAAAAGATGCAACAAACTTGAGAAAGAAAACGCAGAAACAATCGATGAGCTGAAAACCCTCATCATTGAGAAAAAAGTTCTGGTGGAAGAGTATCTGAAAAAGAAGAAAAAACGCTTCCACTGGTTCTGGAGGAGGGGCACTGCTGCTTCTCACCTGATGTAACCTCGTCTTCCTCCACCTCTATTCCATCTTCATTTCCCCCCTTCCCCTCCCTCCTTTTTCTTTTTTCACCCTCACCCCCCGACCAGTCCCGGCAGTTGACTGCCCCCTCCTGAGCCTGGTTCTGCCATAGGTTTCTCCTTTAGGTGTCTTTCACTTTAAAAGGAGTTTTTCCTATCCACTGTCGCCTGCTGCTTGCTCAGAGGGGATTGTTGGGGTTTTCTCTCATCTCTCTCTTTCATTCTTTCTATCCTTTCCCCCCCTTCTGCCTTTTCCTTTACCCAATAAACACAATTGCCCACATTTTACATTTGTTTGAAAAATGTCTTCATTCAACAATAATTCATCTTAGGTATAAAAACAAGAAATAGGTAATAGCTGCATGTGTGTTTGTGTGTGTGCATAATATACATACTTGTTTCCCAGAAAGATTTAATACTAGATGGATAGAGACCAGGGACGTGCAGAGGGGGGGCTAGAGGGGCTTGAGCACCCGCCCCTTTCCTGATGAGTGCCCAAAGTGCCCTTTTGTTGAGGCAACTTTTAAATTTTTTTTATTTATTTATTTATTTATTTTATGTGTGTGTGCGTGCGGAGTCCTGTCTGTGCCCCTCAACAATAATATTTAACTATTAATCATAGTTTTGCTAAATAAAAGGATCTGGCTTGCATCAGTCACATGATCACATTTAACCAATGATCGCCCTCGACGGCAGAACGCGCTGGTTACGAGCCGGGAACGAGCTCACAAAGAGCACGCGCATTTGTTGCGGTCCGGAGCTGTAGGAGAAACACAAGTTAACTCAGAGACACAGACTGATGCGACAAACCCAGTAAGTAGGTGTACAGCGCACACTGTAGTGTGTAGCACACAGGAGTATTAGCTTATTACATACACGTTGGTAAGCTGTCTTGTTGCAACTGACGAACTGAAACAAACGAGCGTGCTGTGTGTGCAACAGCGTGACAAACATTACCTGTCCTTTTATTAACTGCACAAGTAGTGCTGGTCATAGCTGCTGGCTACCTGTGTAAGGCTGTCATGGGTCTGTAGCTCTGTCACCGTTTTAGGGAACATATTTAGTTTTAAAGTAAGTTTCTGGGCATTTCCTGCCTTTCTGGAGGGATTATATTTCACTAAAAAACGATCTAATATGCATGTCCACATAATAATTATTATAATTATATAATATATTAAAAAACACACGCTGTATTTTAAAGAACATACATTAAGAAGCAGATTATATTAGATTTATATTTTAAATAAGACAAAAGTTGGATTTTACAGCAGTAAAATGATTGTATCTCTACAGTTTAAAAATGTAATAAGCTTTGCCCTGCACAGAGTGGATAGTGAAACAAATGGAATCATCATAAATACATTATTTCATATTTATTACTTCCCCCTCCTCATTGCTTTATTATTGTAGCTCTAGTAATAAATAATAATCTAAGGATGCCCATAGTATATACAGTATTCTGAAGAAGGTCTAAAATGTCACTGTGTGTGCATGTGTGTGTTTTATTTAGCTGGATTTAAAAAAATATTACTCATGATATAACATTGTGCAGACATGGCTGGTAAGGACATGAGGAGGAAACAGTAGGAGCTGTGTGAGGCTACTAAAGGCAGGGCTATAACATTTTGCTGTCATCATTTTATTATAGATTAAGTGCAAGAGTTGTTAGGTGTGGATAATTAGATTATAGTTTATTGCAATAGCAAGTTGTGCCTTGTTCTCAGATAGCAAGTGGAGAGTGATATATGAAATGATGGGAAGGAAGGAAGAAGAGAAGCAAAGAGTGATTCACAGGCAGAGCCGAGTTTATGTCACAGTTTTTCGTTGCCTTATGGTTCCAAGCGCTGTCACCAATCTTTGCATTTTGTTATTATCTCATGAAACTTGTTTAATCAGCTACCATCTCTCCTGTGGACTTTTTAATGTCTACAGTCTCAGATCAACACAGCCCTGCCCTTCCCATATTAGATTCTTGATGAATGTGTGTTGTTGTTATTCAGCATGGTTCAATGTGCCCCTTTTTAACTTTGAGCACCCGCCCCTTTAAACCTCTCTGCACGTCCCTGCTCTCTGTTATACTATTTCCCAGTAATGTTTTAGAAGCAGTTAACTGTACTATTTGATCGACTTTCACGCATTTAAATGAGCTATTCTGACATCCTTGGCTCTTACTTTTTAAAAAGCAGCTAAGTGAACTACATATAAATGTTGATTAGTCTTCAGTACAGTTAGTGTGCTGCCACTGCAGCAAGAGGTGATTGGCTTCTACAGTTCTTGGTAGTGGAGGAGCACATGACTGGCTAAATCTTGGTTGAATTTGGTACAAAAAAACTATAGCCGCTCACATGGATTTGCTTGACCAACCGGTGGCAGGGGAATAGAAATGCTTAAAAGCCACCAGTACAAATATTAGGAAAAGGATTTAACACAATCTTTAAATATTAAACATGCTTTGCTCTTCCTGTGCACTCACACCACAGTCAGCGGATTTCAGTTCATGTGTGGGAGGAGCAAAATTGTGGAAAAGCCCACAGTGGCAATAGACATTTTTACCTCACAGAAATTGCAAGAGTGCAACTGCATGTAGGACAGAAGGAACACATACTGCTGAAAGTGTGATCCATGAAGCACCTTTAGATGACTTTTGTGATTTGGCGCTATATAAATAAAATTGAATTAAAGCTGCGTTCATGCTAAACCCAGCCAAAGCCTGTAGTATAGGCAGTGAGGCGCAATAGGGCTTGCAGTCACCTGATCTACAGCAGCGATCAGGTGTCAGGCTTGCTTTCAACCTTGGTGTACGGTCACCCCCCCCCCAAACACCTGTGTGTTCTTATTAGAACAGGGATTTGCATTAGCATGTGGAACCATAGCCAGCCCTCCCCAAACTCAGTTCCCCATCACATTTAAAGCCATACATGACTGGATCCTATACGGACTTAGAACAATCATTACATTGTGGTAGTATACATCATGTTCTAGAGGGATAACATGTATGAAACCCAAGTGGTGCATTTATAACTCATTGGTCAAAGTTTGAATAAAGCAGGCTTTATTTTAAGATAAAGACATTACATGGACCCACTCCATCATCAGACCCCGGCCTTGGTCTGGCTGTTGGCTGGCAGTGGCTTGCCCATGTGGATCCCCACTGTGAGGCCAGACTCTTTGCTGGCATATTTCTCTTTGACCTCAGGCTTCAGCAGGAAACCCTTCTCCTTGTCAAAGTAGTCCATGGGAGCAAAGTACACAGTGGCTTCCCCACAGAGGTTTTGCAGCCGTGTGCGCCAGCCCTCCAGCATGGAGCTGTGAGATTCAGGAGAACCAGTAGCAGGATCCCAGAAGATCTGAGGGGCAAAAACCTGGAAGCCACAGTAGTTCAGGATCCCGTTCTGCACACAGGGAGGAGCAGCTGTTACCACATGACAGATCATTTCATGCTTGGCTCCGTTTATAGTGAGACCTCACCTGCAGTGGCCACAGTGTGACATTGATGTCACCATTGATGCCAGTGTCACTGTACACAGATTCAGGACAGTCAGTGGTGAAGGACAGCATGGCTTTCTTGTCCTGTACAGAGAGCAAGGAGTGAGCAAAGAGGGAGAGGACACAGCCTGAACACAGACATGTTGGTGGAGCGCTCACCTTGAAGATCCCCTCACTGTACCGCTTCTCCTGTGCGTAGGCAAAGCCCAACACACGATCCATCCACCCCTTCATGATTGCAGGAACAGATGACCAGTACATGGGGAACTGGGAACACAGGTTTAATGGTCATTTTAATGTGATGAGAGCCTTTATTGCAAGAGAATGTGAAATTCACTTTGTTGCAGCAGTAAAGTACACACAGAAGAAATAAAATAAGCAGTTTACTTAACCATACTACGTGAAGATATTTCTACATTGTATAGTGTATCCAATTTAGATATACGTACATCCATATGCAAATTACAGAACTACAGTATTTTGGTAGCACCAGAACAGAATCTTTCACAGTGCAGTGGCTGATGTTAATAGAATAAAATATGTGCAGGTCTGTTTTGAAATGTACATTCACTGCTGATGTGGACACCCTTCATCCTATCACAAAGACATTTCCAGTCAGACACTACCTGAAAGATGACAAGGTCTGCCTCCTTGAGCTTCTCCTGCTCTTTTTTGATGTCTTCAGCAAGTTTGCCCTCCTCTGATGCCAATTTGATCTCCTTTGCGTAGCAGAAGCTCTCAGCATCCTTCACACCACCTGCAAATAAAGCTAATATTTACAACTGAAACACAAAGCATTGCTATACCTGCAGAATATTTGTATACCAGTGATGTCCTCAGTAGTAGCAGCAGCTTTGAACTTCATGGCGTACAGGTCAGACACGTCTACAGTGCAGCCTTGAGCAGTCAAGGCTGCAACAGCAGCATCTTTGGCAGCAGCATTGAAAGAGGCAGGGCTTTCATGGGCATACACAATCAGCACTTTCTTGGCTGCAAAGCCAAAAATAAAGATTTGATAGAGTTCCAGTCACATACAAATATTTCACATTAATTGCCAAAGGAAACAGCCAAAACAAAAACCAAACACTTTCACAATTAGAAACCAAACACGTTTCAGCAGTTACCAGGAAGAAAACCTCTTACCCATTCTCAAAACTGGTGCACAACTGTAACTGATGAGTTTTCTGACTAGCTGACGTAGGAACAGGAGAAAAAAAAATACTCATACTGAAACAAAACACAGTCTGCTGCTTTTATACACACTTCGAGCACTACTTCACACAGGTGCTGTCAATCAGCAATCAGGGTCATGAGTCAGCCAGCTGCTGGGATTTTCACTCAGGTTTCCTATTCATTACTAAAACTGGAAAATATTTTAGTGGGAGTAACACTCAGACTAAATTGAATGTTCATCCCAGTTGAAACACAGCATAAATGTATAACAGTTCATTATATTCATTCTGTTTTTTAATTTTCTCTTATAAATAATATTCACCTCAGTTTTTCTCCATCATCTCCTGTGATGATTGGTGTTCAACTTGGACCAATGTTGGATGTTTGACCAAGTCCTGCAGTCTCAGAACCACTGATATAAACTATACAAGAGGACACACACACACAATAATGCTTTATTTTTAAATCATTATTAGGAACGTTTACAATAATTTCTTAAGGTGTTCTACAGTGCCATCATGTGGTCGTGGTTTAAGTCATCATAATGCTTATGAAGCCAGACAGTGTTTTATATCTCTGAAAACAAAGAGGTGGGTTTTAAGAAAGAAGTTTTTATATAATAAATAGATGGCAAAATTTCTATAAAATAATCAGAATCAGGATACTTTATTGATCCCTAGGGGAAATTATTTTTCGTTACAGTGCTCCATTATAAACAAACATTAACAAAGACAGACAATACACTAACTAAGATGCTTCCCCAGCATGCAACAGCATAGAGGATCGCACTGGCCACAACAGACTCATAGAAAATCCTGAGCATTTTCTGGCAGATGTTGAAGGACCTCAGTCGCCTCAAAAAATAGAGACGACTCTGACCCTTTCTGTAAAATGCTGTGGTGTTTGTAGCCCAGTCCAGTTTATTGTCAGTGTGTACTCCAAGGTATTTATAGTCCTCCACAATGTCAACACTGACCCCCTGGATTGAAACAGGGGTCAAGTGTTTCCTGGTCTTCCTGAAGTTCACTATCAATTCCTTGGTCTTTGCCACATTGAGCTGCAGATGATTCTGCTCACACCACGTAACAAAGGAGTCGACCACAGTCCGGTACTCTGTCACATCATCCCTGCTGACGCATCCAACCACCGCGGAGTCATCAGAAAACTTCTGAAGATGGCAGGTCTCTGTGCAGTGGCTGAAGTCTGTGGTGTAGTGGGTGAAGAGGAAGGGGGAAAGGACAGTCCCCTGTGGTGCCCCTATGTTGCTGATTACCTTGTCAGACACACACTGTGGGAGACGTACATATTGTGATCTTCCTGTCAGGTAATCAACAATCCAGGACACCAGAGAAGCATCCACCTGCATTGCTGTTAACTTATCACCCAGGAGGGTCAGCCTGATGGTGTTGAAAGCACTGGAAAAGTCAAAAAACATGACCCTCACAGTGCTGGTCCAGATGGGTGTAGACTCGATTGAGCAGGTAGATGATGGCGTCCTCTGTTCCGAGACGAAGCTGATAAGCAAATTGAAGGGGATCCAGATGTGGTCTGACAATGGGTCGCAGCTGGTCCAGGATGAGCCTTTCCAGGGTCTTCATGATGTGGGAGGTCAGTGCCTGTAATCCTGGGGGCCACTGGGACGTGGCGTCTTTGGAATAGGGATGAGGCATGATGTCTTCCACATCACTGGTACCCTCTGCAGACTCAAACTCAGCATAAACAGTTTATGAAAGACTCCACACAGCTGGGGGACACAGGCCTTGAGGACGAGGGGACTCACTCCGTCTGGTCCAGCAGACTTGCCTGAGTGAAGTCTCCTCATTTGCATCTCAACCTGGTATTGAGTGAAGGTGATGGGTGGGGGAGGGGTGTCAGGAATCTCACAGGAGGCAACAGCGCCATGTGAAGAGAGAGGCTGGCACAGTCCTTAGTCACCCACGGCTTGTTATTTGGGTAACAATGAACAGTCTGAGCTGGAACAACGGAGTTGGTGCAGAAAGTTATGTAGTCTGTGATACACTCAGTAAGCCCATTGATGTCCTCGGCGTGAGGCTCACAAAAGATACTTTCTTTGAAGAAAGTACACAAATTCACTTTATAATAGGCATACATGACATTTGTTGTCTCTTAAAGAAAACAGGTTAAGGAGATACTTCTTTCCCCTTTAGGTAAACATTGACTTCAAGAATCTGCTCCAGGTGAGGTTTGAACTCACAACCTCAGCATAGCTCATCCCAATACTGCCATATAAGTACCACGCGCTACCCAATTGCGCCACTGGAGCACATGCACAAAGCTTTGATTCCTTTCTCCCTTCATTCAATTGGAAGCCAATGTAGTGAAGCCAGAATCGGAGTGATGCGATCAAATTTCCTTCTACCAGTTAAAAAACGTGCTGCCGCATTTTGCACTAATTGCAAGCGTGACAGGGTGCCCAACCCAACCCAAATTATAAGGGAACTGCAATAGTCCAAACGTGACGTGATAAAAGCATGAATAACAGTTTCCAAATTGTGTTTGGAAAGGAAAGGCTTGACCTTCGATAGGCATCTGAGGTGATAAAAAGACGAGTTTACCACCCTATTTAAATGATCATCAAAGGAATTTTTAGTATTATATAAAACACGGGGGTTGTGTGAGTTGGCCGAAATAAGTTGAGAAAGACAGGCAAGTTTATCGGCTTTAACCGCCTTAGGATAACTTTTCCAACTACTTTTTAAGGTTTCCAGACAGAAATGCAGCCTGTCTTTCTTCCGCTGTCTTTCACATCTCCCACATTGTTTTCTAATTTCTCGGGTGAAATCAGTTAGCCAAAACCTTGTCTTGGATTTACATTGTCTTAGTGTCAATGGGGCAACAACATCCAGCGCAGATTTACAAGCAAAATCAAAATACAGAAGTAAGTCATTTGAGGTAGGCAACTCCGAAGAATATGACATGAGATTGTCAAACAATATAAAACTGTTCGGCAGTATCAGAACGAAAGGCACAATAATATCGAACAGGCACAGCCCAATTTGCAATGGCGTTAAGAGAAGCAATATCAAATAAAATAGGCATATGGTCGGAAAAAAACGCATCTTTAACACATACATTGTTAAAGATCATAAGATAAAACCAAGTCTAGCATGTGTCCACATTCTTAAGTGGCACCATTTACAGATTGGACGAAATTAAAAGACTTTACTAAGTCCAGGTATTATTAAACACCGTGAATTAACAGTTTGGAGCACTAGAAGAAAGGGTGTACCCTGCCTCTTTTTTCATCTTGTTTAAGTCATCACAATTAAAACGCCTTGTAGTTGAGAAAAATACTAAAAACACAGGAGTTTTAATAAAGAAAGATTTTAGGTAATATGTGAATGGCAAAATGTCTATTTTGTATTACTTATATTGAGTATACTTGATGTAATCAGTCTCTATTATTTGATAGTTTATTTATATTCTGTATATGTTTTTCCTATTTCACAATAGAGTGCTACCTAACACAACCTTTGTAGCAGTGAGTGCAAGATCGCAGCACTGTAGCGCCAAAAGAGTTCCATTTATGAGCCTATAATAAATTACGGGGAAATAAATTTCAGGCCATTTAAGATATAAAATTGCCTCTGCAACAGGCTGGTTACCTACAGAGGTGGGAAAAGTATAATCGTTCTGTACTTACGTAGCGGCACAGATACTAGTGCCAAACCCTCAGAAACACGGGGAGAATATGCAAATTCCACACAGAAAAACCCAAGGACGATGGTGGAATTGAACTCAGGTCCTTCTTACTGTAAGGCAACAATGCTAACCAACGTGTTGCTTCAAACTGCTTACTCAAAGAAAAAATTAGCCTCTGAAATATACTCAAAATCAAAAGTCAAAGCTCTTTGGAGAACATTACTAGCAGCTATTTTTGTGCAAAGCTAAGTGAACACTGTGCTGTATGTATTATATTATTAATAACAGTAAATGTGAATAAAGACTTTATTTCAGTGTAAGGTTGAGTCCTAATACATTGGGTGTACCTTGCCTGTTGTCCTATAGGTACTGGGAAAGGTTCAAGTCCCAAGTCCCCATGCAGATGTGAGTTATCAATGTATATATGGAAAATAAAACCAGAAAATGAACTGCAGAACAATTCTCTTTCCATACCAAAAGATTAGATAGATATAATGGTTACTCAATGAGAGTAACGTATTCTGAATACTTTGGATTACTTAATATATTATCATGGTGTTTACAACTACATGAATGTCACTTATTACTATTACTGAAGGTCCGCGGCTCCGAACCATAGTAAAGGGACCTCTGGCTAATACGTCGGGTCCGTGTTGGGCTTGTAGCCGAAAAATATCTTTACTTTGTTGTCTGGGTCAAATTTGCTAGCGAGAGACAGAGAGAGGCGTTGAAAGGCTGCTCCAATGGAATTTATTGTTTCGGAAGAAAACACGAACAGGGTGTACAGTCGAGTCTTAATAGCTTACTTACAACTGGGCTTGTCAGGCACTCTTCTTGGCTGCAGTGGTTATTATATTTACATGCTTCCAGCTCCCGTTTCTGCTCGATGACAACTCGTATTTTTCCACTTTCCTTTTTCTCCCTCCTTGCACTCACAGAAACATAACGGGTATGGTAGTCCATTCTCCCTGCAGCACGGAATATACTACCCATGAGGCTACATTCTTTAGGGCTATGTCTCTAGCATTCAGCTTAGCACAACAAGGCGCTCTGTCACCCAGGAAACAGACATTCGCAGAGAGAGCGTTGCCCTGTAACCATGGCAACCGTAACGCTGCCGCCTGGAACAACAGAACATAGCTGTCAAACAAAACCCAAACAATCCTACGACATGAAACAGAAAAATACCACCGTGTAATCCATTTCTTTCAACAAAGTATCTTTTCTCATAATACCACCTTTTTAAACCGTAACGGAATACAGTCACTCATACTTTGCATTTTAAATACCTAACGGTGGTACATGTATTCCGTTACTCCCCAACACTGCCTGTAGGCTGCCAACTTGTAGAACAGGGAGACTGAAGTAAGCAGTAGCTGAGAACAGCTATTTCTAGTCCTGTCACAGACATCTGAGT